TATACTGAGTGAGCGTATTTTCCTAGTTGATATATCGTTGTCGTCTGTTCCCAGAAAGTTTTTTCTTGATGTTCTTTGTTTGTTGTTCTCTCACGTTTGCCTTATGCAGCGTAATAAACATAAACATAAACGTGACGGATGAAGGGACGAGGTGATCTCATAGGGATCGAAGTGGTGAGGCTCACAATTTTAATCAGTTTTAATATTCGCGAATCTAAATCACAAGTATGAGTTCAAATCTAGTCGCGAAATACGTAATAGTTGTCGGATTAGAAATGCAGAACCTTCTACAGTATTACATTAAGTACGTAATCATGATATCTACAGTATATTAGCACATACATTCAGTACTACTATTATTTGCCCCTGATCGCTTGATCAATGACTTCAGCGGAAGTGCGCTTCCCATAGGTGGCAATTGCTTCATAAATTTTCAATTGCAGATTATTGAAACAGGCTGGATAGTCTCCAACCCAAGACTTCAGGCCATTCGTCAAGTAACAAACAACGAGGTCATTAGTGAGGTCCATGTAAACGCATTGACCGCCGATCGCTGGGTGTCCAATTTGCCAGGTGTCCTGAAATTAGAGTCCACTCAGCACAGCATATCTGGAATCAGTTTAGCATGAGATCTCGTTACCTTATCACTCTTTGTGTAGATAAAACCATATCCTTTATTTTCATCTTCACCGAGTGCGTGGTCAAATTCGTTACAGTATTTTGGCTGGCTGATTGTCTGAGAATACTCTCCACTGCGTTGTCTTACAGTGTTTAACTTTTAGTGGTCATCACTGAAGTCAGCAGTACAGTAGTTATCAAAACGGAAGCGTTGTATCGTGTTCCACCTTTGAAACCACCCGAATAACGCTTCAACGGTCTAGTGTGAGAGGGTGCAGACGAAAAGCCGCGTCAAAGCGACGCGCTGCTGACACGCCCCAACTGACTTTAGTGATAACGACAGCACCTTATGCGGAGGAACAGCGGTAGTAGTGTAGTTTAGAAAAGTAGAAAGAGTACCTGGAGCAAATCAGCTGATACAAGAGTACCGTCCATGAACAACTGAAACGTTCGTGCCAGTCCTCGTGCGGTCGCCACGCCACTGAGTGCTGGTTGTGCTATCGCGCGCACATCGGGGTTATTGAACAGTTCGACCACCTGAATTACAGTGCTTGATTCGAGGCACCATTGTCGAGCTTCAGGGTTGGAGTTGATCCAGGGCTAGCAATTCTTGCATGTTTCTGAGCTCCGAACTATCTGTGAGGAAGTTTGATTGAGCCTCAAAACCTACGACAGAAGCGGCCAATTCTTGAGACCCATCTTTTATGAAATGAGATAAGTGATGAGCTAGTGGTACACTCCCAAGTGCTATGGATGATATTCATCTATCTCATGATCCTTTCGACTATATCTCTCTAAGATTCAGGACATACTCCTAGCTGCTTCTCCTCCGAATTATTTGAATACACATGCCAGTGTCCCACTGGGAACAATCTGCCATACTATCTAATCGTAAAAAGGACCTTTCTATAAATTGACTAATCTTTAATATCCAAACGTAGTGCGCATTTCCTGACTGTACAGGGGGGCCAAAAAGTCATTTTGCCTCCATGACTTTCAAGGCGCTATAAGTTACACTTTATTAAATTTTTATCGGACATTTTTACTACCATATTAAAGAGCACATTAAATACTATAATGATACTCCGCCACAGCCTTCTGGAGGAGCGCCATCGAGAGATTCGGCCGCGCGAAAGTGAGTGGGTACCGGAGTTGAGCGAGATCGTTGATTTCTCCGCCACTGTAGACCACCCTGTTGAGCTCCGCCCGAACCGAGTAATTGAGGGGGTTTAGGCTTAAATACTCCATCTTTTCCAGGTACTCAACGTTCTTCCATTCCAAGTAGGCGAAAGTTTTTCCAACGCCCTTCGATTAAATGTGTTGTCACCCAATCCTGTAGCAGTACAAAGTTTCCAAGAAGGTACGGGCGACGACATGAAGATGGGATATTCTCCTCGAGTTGCTCGATGTAGCCACCAGCGCACACCCTCAGTCTGGGGCCCACGAAGAAAATATCGGTTCATCCATTCCAGGTACGGCCGGTCCACACCATCAACCCGCGCCTTGGTGAATGGGGTGAAGATGATGTCCTGGACCGTAGCGACGTTGCCGGAGCTGCTCGATGAGGTCGATCAGAGTACTGGTCTCCAGGTAGCTATCCATGGGTGATTCCATTCAAGAAGTTCCGCAGCTGTTTGGAGGCCACGTGAATTCCAAAGGTTTCTCCAGTCAGGCCGCGACTGGAGATGACTTCATATTTTGGTGTACATGAAGGTGAATGGCGGCAGCCGGCTCCTGCTTATAGAGGAAGATCTTGGGTATCTTCCGCCCTGGTACTCATATCCACTTCCTCTGTCTGGGCTGCGAAAACTTCGCTCATATGTGACTCGGCCGGAATGACTTTTTTTTGGCCCCCCCCCTGTATATACGTATTGACGCTACCACTCCATGATTTTTGGACAAAGCGATGTTGCTGCTGCGACCTTTGTTCCTGGCCCTTCCAACTGAATTTTCCTGTTACAAGGGAACCCACAACAGGTCGATCCGACCATTTGCAATGAGATGTACATATATGGACGTGTCTTGAGCCGCTGAATCCAAATCTGCCCTCGGAATTTGCGGAACGATTCTCTGAAGGGAGTTACGGACCATTTAATCTCTGCTCTGTTCGCACAAGTTGAGAACGATAACTCACATGCACATGGCGAGGGCACCGGGCGATTCTATCGTCGGCAAGCCAGGCGACGCCGCACACGCCGCGCCGCGTCGCTGCGCGCCGCGACGCGGCAATCCCGGAGTTGCATTACCGTACTCCCGAGTTGTCATTGGAGCAACGGCCACAGCAAGCTGTGCCTCTTTCAAATTGTTGAAAGGGATCGTCGACCCTTTACAATTTGAACGCCACGCAACAAAACTCGTACGGCTGCTGCCACGCAGCCTCGCTCCGCCCACCGGCGCGACGACCGGACGATAGAATCACCACACACTCCATGGTGAGAGGCCTGTGGCGCAGTGGATAGGCGCACCGCTTCAGAGACACAAGGTCGCATGTTGGAATCCTTGACTCTCGAAAATTTTTGCTTCTATTCAAAACACTTCATACAAGTCCCTAAAACGCTTCTATTTGGCCAATTTGAATAAACGGATATCCTCATAATCTTCTTGAAAGGAAACAGAAAAGGCGAGTTGCTTGCTCCTGATGTCAAATAATTAAAGAACTAGGTAAATTGGCCAAACAGAAGTGTTTTAGGGACTCATATGAAGTGTTTTGAATAAAAGCAAGAATTTTCGAGAGCCAAGGATTCCAACATGCAACCTTAAGCCTTTGAGGCCTATCCACTACGCCATCGGTCACTTGCCGCAGCCGTTATCGTTCTCAACTTGTGCGAACAGAGCAGAGATTAAATGGTCCGTAACTCCCTTCAGAGAATTATATATCTCACTGCAAATGGCCGGATTGACCTGTTGTGGTTCCCTCGTTAGCCTGAACCGAAACCCGAAGCAAGGCTCAACATTTGAAGGCCCGCTGTGCATTCATCTGATGTACAGACGCCTTTTCGACATGGTAGTACTGTCTGCAATCATGGAAGATGTACTAGGTGTGCGAAAATACGTGAGGAAGGTACGACTTGCTCGCGAAGAGGCCATGGAATTCTATGTATGGCACTTCGAACGGGTTTTTCCTGTTTTTCTTCACATTTGTCTATCAAAATGTTGTACTGGTATTTGACTAACACCATTTTTGAACGCAGGGTTTCCAAGTTTCCCAGGCACCGAATAATTGCAATCGTGTCCTGTTCCTCCCCTATGGAACCTCCACTAAGAACGACGAGAACGCAGCTGAAACTCACTGAGCCCAACGAGCTTCCTAAGAAAATATTGCCCAGATCATAATCAGCTGATTAAAGAATTGAGCTGCCTTTTCTTTATTCTCTCGGTGAGATTTATGATCCTTACCTCATTACTGGCTTGCATTCTGCTTGCGGTTACCGTTGGCTTTTTCGAAAGATGTGCACCAACTGCGAATATCTTCCTATCATGGACGTACTCTCTGAAAACTATCGTGCATGTAATGTTAAGTAATGTTGGGTAGTGGTCACACCAAATGCTCATGTAGAGTATCGAGGAATCTCACAGTAAATTAAGGGTTTGTCCGATTCGTATAGATGATACATAGGCTTTAGTCCAACATGTACCATTTTCGCTTTGAATTCGCTACTTTTCAAACCAAACTCACGGTTTTTTAAACTAAATCCATGATTTCTTGAATCACATTTAAGACTCAAAATTAAAATGGCACATATCACTACCGCAATATTAGTTGAACAGCATTTAACAACGATGGCACGTCCATTTCACGAAGCCGCCTAGTGTCTGCATTCCTATAGATCGCTTGGCACCCGAACACGAATATCGCTTGTGCATATTCCTGAACCGCCCTGCACTGCAGGAGCCGGAGCCACAAAACAGTACTGTAGCGCGGATCCCAATTAGTTTCGTACTAAGCGCACTAAACCTGCAGTGCGTCAACAGCACCGCACAACTGCTAAAGCGCAGGATCATGCAAACTAATGTACGGTGTAGTGCATTTGTACGGTGCGCTTGCACTCACTGCAAGTGACCCCTAAGCTGCTTGCTACTATCCTACTTCCCCATATTCTCTATTCCCGGTCGCTTGTGAACGCTGGTGGATGTTGGTAGACGCTGGCAGACGCTAGATCGATATCTCTTGCTTCTGAGTTCTAGTTGCTGACGCTGCCGGACGCTCGCTACGCTAGTGGTCGCTGGTGGAAGCTGGTAGGCGCTGGTGAATCTGCCGCAAAGTATGAACCTAGCCTAAGCTGTTGTGCGGCCGACGCTGCGGCTAAATTCTGAAAGAAAGTTCAAGTGGAATGGGTGAAATTGAAGATTCTGGCATCCCTCGAGAGGGAATGAAGCCGCATTGCCTAACCTACCGTAATGACAAGCCTTTCTTCATGACGGGGAATTTCGCAACGCGACTTTCTTGCTCTCCGGAACATCCGATGTACACTTCGACATCTGCAACGCATTTCTTAGGAATCATGAACTTTGAATGTTTTGTCCATGGTAATCGTGTGCGCGGAATCAAAAGTCCCACGGCCAATAAGAAACGGAGGAAATTTCTTCCAACAAGGACACCTAACTCCGCCCATACAATCGGCGTGGACTCCAGCTTTGACGAGGAACTGGATAAATAGATAGCTCCACTGGACATTCTAGAAATACGTACTGTACTTTTCTTGAACCTCTTCGCGGAAGAATTCGCCAACTGTCCGATGCTTTTTGTCTATGCGGCAAAAAACCTGAGCAAACGTTTTTGCAGAGGCTAAGAAAAGATGTAGATGTCTAGAAAGGAGAGATGTAACAAATCCTACCTGATCGAATAAGCCACCCAAAGGTGACTGCATGATATTCGGTTTTCGAACCCGGTGGATATTTAGGGAATTCGGCTTCTATTATTTTAGCGATACTGTCTTTGGTCAAGTCGCTCAGGTGGAATTCGGTATCAAAATATGGTAATCCTGCCTTAAAAGTACAGCTACAACTTATCTGCAATAACAAGTGAATGAAAATTTAGCCATTGAGTGGAGTGGGTGAGGGGGGGGAGGGAGAGGAAGAGGCCGACACTAAATAACTACTATTTTCAGCTACCAAAAGTAGTAATAGGGCAGGACTTTGACGGCGTCACCGGTTAGAGTGGTATACAGGTAAAACCAAAAACGACCCCTCCCTCTACCGACCTAATACGACACCTCGCTAAGATTCCTCAACGTACGACGGGCCGTGTTCACACCATGGGGAAGTTCCATACCGCTTGCAGTGAGTCGTTCTTGCAGGTTCTACGGCGTGATTTATATGTATCAGGTTTCGTGGAAAGCTAACAGAATAAGAGGATGTTCAAAAATGCTGCGATTTCCTCCTCCACTTCAAGAGTTCACTCTTCTTTCTGCATAAAGTGAGATACCGCATTGAATCACGCAAGAGTAACATGCTACAACTCATGGTATGTATGCGGTTCTTTCATCTCACCATCAGAAGGAAGACTATTCAAGCTTGGCCAAGTCCCGATGGAGAACCTTTTTTCAAGCTGGTGGGCCGACGGAAGCCGACGACTGTCGTAAATGCTGGCTCTGGATCATACATCTGAACTCCACTGGATGGAAAGGATGAAATTCCGCCACCACGAGGTGGAAAAGAGCTTCCAGCTCGATGAGAGTGTCCTCGAGTGAAAATTACTAAAACCTTGCTGCTAGTCTAGCGTAGTCTCTAGTACATTGCTACATTACCAGACGCTCGGCTCTAAAAGGCCTTCCGATGATGTGACGCTTATCACCCGTATTGCTAGGATGGGATTCGTTCACGTAGTCCTTTACGGGTCCTGTTCCAAAAAAAGGCACTCAGATGCTGTCTGAATAAGCAGTGGATGCCTTGCCTGGTTGCCTAGGAAGCGGGGTATCAGTTGATGCATCATTTGAAAGGGCTTTGATCCGCACCGCGGAGGGACACAAATGGAGCACTCTTCCGCCAATGTCGTTGTAACTCCTCCCCGCCATGGCACGTCCTTCCGCTGGGATAAGCTTTGCGAAATACGACCCCTTCCCTCAAGATTTCCTCCTCCGATGCGACTCCCTTCCTGCGATCCCCTTTCCCCATCCCACGTTCCGACTTCCTAATTTCATAACTTTCTACCACTTTCTGGAGGAATATATAATGTTTTCCCCAAAAAAAGTACCGTCAAGCGGGAAGGGGATACAGCGCAATTGGAAAGATAGGAGAAAACAGGGAATGTCGAGCCAAAAGCGTTTCTCTCAGAAGCAATCACAACCCTTTTCCGTCATCGAGGGAATACGACCTCCTCTATGTAAATTCCAACGTACGATTTACCCGCCCCGCCTCTCAACGCACTCGAGGACTTTATCGCTATTGTGCCAGTACCATTGTAGTATGAAGCAAAAATGATCATTCACACTAACTCGATGAGTAAGGATCATCTCAATAGTAATGTCCTGTTTGTTATTTCGCCCGAATTCAGGCCAATATTTCACAACTTTGTCTGAGTAGCTGCATTCACCTCGATCGACTTTCATCGCTATGCATATCGCCGCGATACCCTGTAGTAAATAATATACTGTGTTTTCATGAAAACAGAGTAAGAGCTAAACGTGTTCACTTCACCTTCGTACAGCAGACTATACTGGCTAAGGTATCACGGTTCCACAGGTTCTGAGTTGAACGATCAGCGACTCCTCCCCACAGATCTACCATTAATACTCCTCTGTGGTAAACCGCTATTGCAGCACCAGCACGTTCGTTGTGTCCAGTGAAGTTCTGTCTGAAAATTGGGCAAAACATTACACTTGCAATTGTGCGTGCGGTCACATGCTCGAACTCGAACAACAACAACTCGAACATGCTTGATTTTTGTTATATATTTTAGTTTCGGTGAGATAACTACGAATTGGTGCAGTGACCTGAGAAGCCGCTAACAACTGCGCTAATCAAAAAATTAGACTAGGGTGAAGTTGGCTTGATTTTTATCCT